ATCCGAATTCATGTTATATTGGGTCGTGTTATATCGGAGTAGAGGTGTATAAATTATGGATAAATATGGGATCTAAAGTTGGAGGAAGAGAGAGGTTAGTCCCCAACAAATGCTGGTCTTTGAGAGTTGTCCTGTGCACTCACTCTTGCGGAAAAAAATATGTCTATTTGGAGGAAAGAAGGGGGTCACACATCCTCGAAGCACTGAATATTCAGTGTCTGAAGCTATATAAGGAAGTACAACTCCACAACCACCTCAGTATCTTCTGATTATATAGAAAATTTTGAGGTAGAGGGGAAGTGGGCAGGAAGTGCTAAGGCATGAAGGCAGTGAGTAACCTCTATTTCAAGGGCCTCTGACCATTTCCACTTGAGGGAGACAAGTGAATGTGGTACTGTCCAGGTGGATGGTAGACCAGGAGTTCTCACTGAAACATGGACAGTAGCACCCATACTCTCAAGCTGAGCATTGGAGCACAATGCCAAATCCAAAGAATAATGCCTGGTGAAATATATACTGAACACCAAGTGGTTGCACACAAATCTCTGCTGTGGGTACCTGCCTAAGATTTACTACAAAAATTGCAATGGCCCTGGTGGAATAGATTTTTAGTCCCCAGGGAACTGGTATCCTAGCTAGACTGTAGGAAAGCATAATGCATACTCTAATCTATTTAGGGTGTTTTTGCAATGGGCTTTCCCCCTGCATCTTTCCCCATAAACTACGAATAGCCTGCTCCTATTGCAAAAGGGTTTGGTCTTATGTACATAAAAGCATAGAGTCTTTTTATCATCAAGGGTACACAGACTTATTTCCCCAGGATAAACATGGGGTCTAGGGGGAAAAAAACAGGAAGGGATACATACTGACTGAGTCACAGGCTTTCCGCTTCAAGCCGAGATGAGGTTGAAGGACCACTTTTTGTCTTTACAAACAACAACGTAACAAGGGTTGGCCATAAAATCTTGCAGCTCTTCTAGCTGAAGCAATGGCTATTGAGAATGTAGTTTTGTACAACAGGTGTTTTACTGAGGAATCTTTTGGGGGGTTGAAAGAAGGTCCCATCATTTTAGTGACAACTATGTTCAAGTCCAAGGAAGAAGCATGCTGTCTTACAGAAGGGAATGGGGGAATTTAATAAAATATTAAGTCCTTTCAGAAATGTGGAGACTGTGGGATGTGAGAACACAATCATTCCCTGTAATGTCTGATGATAAGTTGACATGGCAGTGAAGGGATGTTGGAGACATCCCACCCTTTTGGGATGTTGGAGACAGGCCTTGGGATTTCAGATGCTGCAAATGGTCCAATATGTCCGGCATCTCTGCCACTGAATGAGAAAGATGTGAGAGTGAGGAACAGTGACAAACACCACTGAAACAGACAAGGAGACAGCCAGAAGAAGAACTGGAGTGTGGCCCTGAGAAAAAGACTAGAGGGAGGGCTTTTTGGACTGAGTGCTTAGTGAAAGAAGCTTGGAACTGTTCACAAAAGAAACTATTTCCTGTTTGATTCTTACTGTATTCAAGGAAACAGGACTTTGTACATTTTTTGTGAATGACTGCATCAAAGAAATACCTGGCTTCATCATCAATTTCTCCTCTAACTGAAACACCCTGAAGGATCCAGAAAATTGGCTAACCACTCAGGTCAAAATGGGGTAACAATATATTGAACACTGGATCTAAAATGGAACCTTGAGGCAATTCCACTCTTGACTTTTAGCTATGATGAAAACAGACCATGTATTCCTATTCTTTATTTTCTGTGTCTCAGTCTGAGCTTCTGCAGTAAGCCAAACAAAACCAGGAGTACCGTTGAAGCATTGTAGCTATCAGCACATTTTTTGCATGGGAACATGAGCAACAATACAGACACGTGATCCTCTGGCACCAGATTCTTTGATGCTTTTCTCTGCTCATAAGGCAAGACCTCAAAGATAGATTCAAGGCATTACATATGGAGTGTTTGTATCTTCCCATTAGTAGCTGGTAGATTGTGCCCATATATGCAGGGAGCCCAAAGAATATGCCTTGCAGCACAGAAAATCCAGTCTCCCGACCATTCTCTATCAGTGGAAGTGGAATGTGTTGTTTTCACATGTTCTCCTGTCCAAACCTACTGAAGCTGCCAGAGAATTCGGGATTGGATACTGCTCAAAGTAACTGTAACACTCAAAAGGAACAGGATTCATCTTTACCTGCCCTCCTGGGTACTGCTATGAGGATGATGGCGTGAGCCAGATGCCTTTGGCAAGAGATCTAATAAGTCTCTGGCTGATGGGAAGGGCTAACTAATATCAGCTATGAATATCACTGAATGATGATATGCTATACTATCTATACAATTAATACTAAACTTCAAAACAAAAACTATAACTATATAGAGCTAACAAAACCTACTAGAGTTAGGAAATCAATGGACACAGCACTGCTTTCTCAGATAGTGACGAGAGAACTCAGATGGCTGGGGGAGTGCATCCCAAAATGGACATGTATTTGAAGAAGGTTCCACAAGTTCACTGATAGAGAGTACTATCCCAACAATAGAAATGCACATAGGTCACTGAAGAAGAATGACAGCTTAGAATGAAGAAGTGGTATAGCAAATATCTTAATGTAGCACGTTAAGTACCTTGAGTCTTTGCATCAGGAAGGTGTAGATTCTATTAGCATATCTTTTTGATAATTACTAGGTCAGTAGTCATTAGGAACTCTAATATCATTGGTGATAAATACATGATATACAGGGTGAACCTCTCTAGTACAGCACGCTCTGGTCCAGCATGATTTTATTTTTTGTTTTTCATGCTTTATCTACTTATTTCCTTGTGCCAACACAATAAAATTGTGTAACAACACTAACACTTTGTTATGAAGAGAGCCAGTAAACCTTGGCTAGGCGGCGTTGCAAGCGTTGTTCCGTTTATTCGTCTCGGTGAGATAAAAATAAAAAGAGACCTACTCACTACAGTATTGACCTCTCGTGATTTGGCAAATTCTCTGGTTCAGCACCAATCAGGTCCCCAAGGTGCCAGACTAGAGAGGTTCAACCTGTATTAGATATCAGTTTGATACCTATTAGTCTATGTGATCTCATGCTCTGATTACTGTGACCCTTGTCCAATCTCACACAACTTCCTTCTTCTTTCTTCTCGCACCGAGGTTCTCTTAACCTAGGCGGTAAGTGCTTCAAGACAGAAACACTCGTCTGCTCCATATTTTACAGCTTCTAGCACAACTAGGCACCAATCTTGACTGTGGCCTATGGACTCTATACTATTAAATAATTATATTTAATAACACAATATGATTGAGGTGTCTGACTACAAGAAAAATAATTAACTACCTTTTCTTAAGTATACTCTACTTTTAGTATAAGGCTCCCTGTTTATCTATGCACACATTTATATTAATAACGCACTCACCGTTGGATCATTTCCTGGAGTAAAATTTTAGTATCACTGCAATCCATGTAAAGACTGGCTTCCAGTGAAATAAGCTGATCACAATTTCTTCCAGCTCAGATAGAGGAAGGTTTATGTTCACCTCCCCTGAGCAAATGTAAATCAAAAAGTCTTCACTGTGAAAATCTGCTGGATACTGATACAATAACTCCAATGACCAAGTGAAGGACTTTTAATTGGTTAAATGTTGTCACCAATTGTATCTAGCATGTTTCCCAGGTAAACTACATTCACAATATAATCCTGCAGAAAAACATGTTGTCCCATAACCTTTGATGTGTACTACTTGGAAGCCATAAGAACAACTAACTTCTGCAGACCAAATGGTTATGAACAGCAATGTCTATATATTATGGCAAGTGGCATGCTATAAATAGCTAAAATATACAGAGTAGATAGTTTAGAAAAAGTAAAATAAGGGATTTGTATCAAATGTACTAACCAGAAATTTTGGAAGTACAATAAATTCATTAATACCTTTTTTTTAAAATAGCATCACTTTATAACACCCATTGCACTCAGTTTCTAAAACTAGTGTTATAATAAAGCAATAAAGATAATGTGATAAACAGCACATTTTCTTCAGTTTTCACGAAAACAGAGGAAGACTATTATAATTCCATAACAGTTTCTATTTACCCTTTAGCATTTCTGTTTTCTGCAAGGAAAACAACTGCAAATTACCATTGGGACAAGATGCTAATTTCCTGAAAATTAAAACTGGGAGAAGAATGAATCTGGAATAAATCTGACCTGGTTAGAAATATGGCATCATTTATTTTTAATATTCCTTTCAAAAAAGCTCTATAACTCAAAATATTTTAAAACTAAGAAACACATGAATTGAAAGAGAGACTGGGTATGACCTTTTTGAGTAAAGGAGAATCTTAGTCATGCTGTAGAAAAAACTACTTAGCATAATTTGTATTTTATTTCAGCAAGCACGGTGGACCAGTCAGAGTTGCACTTCTTTAAATGTTAAAGACCTATTCAACAATGAGCTATCCAACTGATTTCCAGTATAAAAACTAGAATGCTAACTGCACTTTCCAAAGCTAAAGGCCTATGTACTCCTTTTGTTCAATATTTAATTACGTGGATGAAATGTCTGAAGAATTGTCCACCTTAAAATGTTTCTGAAACTCTAAAAATCTAATTACTATAGTTTCTGACCTAAAGATATGTGACAAATGTACCTAATATAGCTCCTAGCACCACAGATATTTTGGACTTTGAATCCAATTGCACATAAAACAGCATAAGGCTACTGATAATTCTCCAGCCATCTCCTTTTATAGGATACTATAAAAGCTATAGTGGCTGCATAATGTTATTAATATTTATGAAGTTATTCTTTAAAAAGAGAAACTAACTTTCCTTTTTCTAAGGAATGTAGATGTACAAGGTGACCAGATTAAGCAGAGAAATCATTTAGAGATCACTTCACAGCAAAAAAGGAAATGGAAAAATACAAAATTAATTATCCTTTAGGCATAAATTAAAATAAATTCAGGCTACAATCAATTGTACTCACAGTTGACACTGGTCTCCTTTGATTCCTTTAGTTGCACAAAAACATTTTCCTGTTTGCATGTGACAAATATTTGCATGTCCACTGCATGTGCAAGCTATAAAATCAAAGAGGAAAGAGATTTAAATGTCTATATTATACTTCATGACTAAACATACTTTTATGGATATTAATATTATATCCTAAATGCATTACAGAGGTGGTGTGGTTAAAGTATTAGTATTTCCGTCATGAACCCCTTTAATATCACTAATATGATCGTTTAATTTATATTCTGCAGTGTTGGGAACTCAATAGTCTGAATGTGCCTTTAGGGAGATTTTATCTAAAGATTACTGACATAAATAGTAAAGGTTGCAGAGACGTCAGTACAGTCTATCGTTTTAACGTGACTTTGTATACAGTATGGCAAATATATTACTAAATATTAACAAAAATAATCCTTACGTATACGAAGTATAATCCTGAACTATTGAAGACAATGGCAAAACTCCACTGACTTGAATGGGACCAGAATTTTGTCCAGTTTCTAATAAAAGACACATACACTGTATCCATACCAGTTAAAGTTGTAAATCAGTTACATTTGACAAAAATTTAGTAAATTTAAGGCTTTTAAGGCCCACTTGAACAGAGGCTAATTTGATACAATACCATTTCTATGGTCCAAAACAAGAACATTCTAGAGGCAAAACTACAAAGAGCTCTTCTGCCTTTAAATGCCCCTGCAGGTGAAGTAAGGTGATAACAGAGGATGTCATAATTTCATTAAGAGGTATGTGATAAGCCAATGTAAGGTCTCAATAGGATGTCAAAGAGCACAGCCTTAGGCAGACTGAATCCTACCTACCCACCCTTTCTGATTGTGATTAAAGATACTGAAATATCTGCAGATAATGGAATTGCCTCTTAGTAACCTAGTGCAGAGTGGTATAGTCCTATAGGTAATGCATTAGCGTGTACAAGACAAGACAACCATCTAGTGATATTCATAATATGCTTAAAACTCTCCTTGAACAAACCTCAATAATTCTGAACCTATCTAGAGATCAGAATCTGCTGTCACAGAAGTTTTAATTACAACCAAAATAAAAGATGTTATGCATCGTCTTCTTCTTCATGAGCATGGATATAATACTAAATGGTGACCTACATGTAATAAAAGTTTATTTGCCACTTTACAATCCTATTATAGAAGTGCTACTTTTCTTGTTGGCGAAGGGAGGGAGTATTAATGATCTTATTCTGTAGATAAGGAACAACATAGAGAACTCATTCCTGTGACAGTGCCCTATAACACCTACCCAGACACCATATGTCCCCCTTAAACCAACACATAAAAGAAAAGTATTAATGTATTAGACAACTGGATCTCAAACTATGACACATAAAATGTACTTTACATAATATACAATTCATACAACAGAAATGTCCATGTGTTTGAAGGATAGCACATCTGCTATTTCAAAGAAGCCTTTGCCAATGTTTACCCCATTCATCTCCAGTTAGCAGACCATCTGAAAGAAAGCAAGCGGAAGCAAAAAGAGCTGACTTCATGAAGCTTGGGGTAGGATGAGGTGAACTTGGCTGAAATAGCTGAGCTCCATTTGAAAAGTGAGTAAGAGGAGAGCCCAAAATGGCTTGACATTGGTGAAGGTGTGACCCTAGTAGATGAGCTTTAATAAAAATGGTGCAAGCAGGGATGGAAAGAGAATAACACAGTTCAGGAGAGGGAAGAGAAAATCTCAGTGTTCGGTACAAAGAACATAACCCAACGCTACAGTGATAAATACAGTTAAAATTAAAATGCCTTTGAAGAGTCAATTTACAATTTAAGGTCTGATCCTGCAAAACGTACACATATTTAACTGTAATCACTTTAGCAGAATTAAGCATGTACATAAATTTTGCAGGATCAGGGGATTAAAGACACACTGTCTGTGGCCAAATTTGACTTGAATGCTGTGACAATTTTGGGGATCAGTCTGTACAGCTTATAAATTCTATGAGAGATTATGATGTGGTTACTATGAAAATTGGTGTATAATGAGTATGGAGATATACCTATCTCATAGAACTGGAAGGGACCTTGAAAGATCAAGGAGTCCAGTCCCCTGCCTTCACCAAGTACTGTCCCTGACAGGGTTTTTCCCCCCCCTCCCGATCCCTAAATGGCCCCCTTAAGGATTGAACTCACAATCCTGGGTTTAGCAGGTCAATGCTGAAACCACTGAGCTATCCCTCCCATTTGTATATTGATCGTAATATGGCAGAGTTGTGTCATACCTCTACCCACTAGGTACAAGTGTGGACTGTTAGAACTCAATGATAGCTTATTCAGAGTTAAGCATCTTGCAGTGGGTGTGCTCAGAAGCAGCGGACCATTGTCTGGAGAGTGGAAAATCCCAAATGCAGAACAAAGATACCAAGGTGTTGATACTAGCCTTTAAAAAACCACAGAAGCTGGGTAGGTCAGGGGAGCACTCACATAGAGAGATACACAGAACATTTAGGCAGGAAAGGGGAAGGAACAGACAGCCAAAGTCAAAGAAAGTGAGCTGAGGAGAAAAGGCTCCATGTTTCAAAATCCAAGCTATGCACTACAATACAAGATCTCTGTATGGCCCTAGAGGGCTTTGACCCCAAGCCCAAAGATGCTCTGGAGTGGTGAGGAAACTGAAGCATGAAAATGCATGTAGAAATTATTATTTTTGTAAAAATCTGTGTACTTGTGGTGCTATTATAGAAAGAGCTGTAGAACCTGTGCAAAGTATATTTCCCTTACATGCATTATACCTACCACATGGCCACTGACAAGGTAAACCCAAAGCTCACACTTTCAGTGGAATTCTGGGAAAGGTTATGTTTAAACTACAGAGGAATCTGAGGAGTGAGCACTAGTTCTAGGTGCTGGGCAGGAGGCTATGTGGTCTAAGCTCTCAGGCAGGGGTGCCACAGCGAGTCTGAACCCTGAGAATGTGTCTAGGGACCCCAAGACTGAGACAGTCCTGGACTCTCTTCAGACTCCAGAGGCTTAAAATATTCTGAGATCCAGTGGTCAGATCATCCCACTGCAGTCTGATGAGTGGCCAAGAGAGGGCACTTGACTGAACCTATGACAGATGCCACACTCGAGGGCAACAGCACAATAATAAAGGCATTTAGTTTGGGGGAAAAGGATGCCTGGGAACAGGTTAAAACAGCAGAAATTCTCCCTCACAGGCTTTGTAATATTTCATTTTGGGGGAAGAGGAGGAGGAAACCCCTCTCTAAAATCAAAATAGGATGTTATTAATCTCCTGACCTTAGGGATAAGTATGAGAAGTGTAGTCAACACCACAATTCAGGCAGGAAGATGTCCTTATTAACAACTTCAAGTGCCAGGTTTTATAAATGTGAACAAATTAAATAAGATTTGACTGTTCATCTAATTTTTTATTTTAGTCACCAATGCAAATAGCAACTTGCCAACTGGAAAGTGCTCTCTTTCATACAAGTTAATGAAAGAACTGAGATGAAAATATCAGTGATCCTTCCTTTCTGAAATATCCTGCTAAATCATAGGCAATACATTTTTGCATGGAAATGAAAAGGTCTCCGTTACAATATGTAATAAATAAAGATACATATCTGGTTAGAAGCACTGGCTTTTTACACCATTACTAATATTATTTTACTCCTCTACATGATGCGTTATGTGGAAGTCTCAGCTCCAATGACTATGGTCATCTCAGCACAATTTACATAGCTCAAGAATATCATAGGGCATTCACATGCTTGTCAATAATTTGTCCAACCGTTAGTTAAATTAAGATGGCAATATAATTAATGATCATGAGACCATCTTTTAATCCATGTGACAAAGTGCTAGATGAATTAGAGAAGACACAATGGTTAAAGAAAACTGAAGCATGAAGAGAGAGCTCTCACAATGTGGACTGCTGTTCTCACAAACAAGGAAGAGGAGGGGAGCTGTTCCGGACACTTTTAGCAGAGAATGGGGAGCTGCACTTTCTAACTCGTCATTTCCCCCTTACTTTATCCCTTGGCACACAGTAAATAAATGGAATAAAATGCATAAGGAAGCAATGAGCAGCATTTCATCAATAAACGAAATCTGATTGTTTCAACTGTCACAAAATGTCACCTACACTGTAAAATCTGTGGTTGCAACTAACAGCAGAAATTTTTACAAAGTATGTGGTGATAAGAAAATATTTTTTTCTTCTTCAAAATAAGACATAACCACCATAGCTCCAACTGATACCTGCAATTCCCACTGAATGTTAAATTTTGCTATGATCTTGACTCGGCACAATAAAAGTTCACTGAAGATGTATTCCTCTGTAACAGGTTATAATGTTTCCCTGTATTCTCTCAAGTACCCCATTCTTTGTCAACAGAATGATTGTTTAAGTACTTTTAGCAGGAAAGGCCTCTTTTCAAATGTTAATTTTCACTATGTAAATCATTGCTATAATAGCAGCAAGAAACAAATGAATATGTATACAGTATATTCCTAGCAGCGTACTGTGCTTATTGTGCCTTATCAGTTAATAGTTCGTAACAGTGATGTTCCATTATAAGAGAGCACATAAGCTGCAGAGCAACTAATAGGCTGCATTCTGGTTAATGTTCAAAAACTGCCAATTTATGTACATACAACGAATCTGAAACCATCTAAAAGTTAATTTATGACACAAATACATGGAATTTCTCTAGCATCGAAGCTGCTCATTGCATATGAAAAAAATCAACAACAAAAGTCTTCACTAGTAGTACAATTTCTTTTAGTTAAGAAGATTTAATTTAGTGAGGTAAAAAACCAGACACTATGTTCTTTCCACTGATGCAATGTCTACAGTACCACTTATGTATGAATCTCTATAAACCAAATGGACTGGCTGAAACAGCTTCTCCCGCTGATTTAGCTGCTGCTGCTCGTTGGGAGTGGATTAATTAATCAACAGGAGAGCTTTATCCCATCGGCTTAGAATGGCTTCACTAGAGCCCTTACAGCGGCACAGCTGTAGCTATTACCTAAATGTTCTTCCTGTGCATTCACAGTCACATTTTCAAAATTAGCTATTCCATCTT